TTTGATGCAGTATGCCGTGGCCTGGCGTGCCACTCGCTCTGCTTCCTCCTCTTTCTCCGACAGGGTCCCTTGCGTTAAGTAGCTCCGGAGCTCCGTGATCCAACATCCCTCCTGAGGTTCCATTGTCAGGAGCAGGCGTGCTCCCGAGGCCGGGCCACAGGCCGGAGCTCCTGAGGCAGGCGGCTAGGGGAGCTCCTCCCAGGGCTGAGCCGTGTTTGATAATGACGGCAGGGCTGAAGGCTTGAAGAGCCGCTCCTCGAAAACGCCAGGCTCCTGAGGTAACCGCCTGGACGCGCGTTTGGCGATGTCATCGGCTTCCTGATTGGTGCCACGGGGCACATGCTGCAACTCCAACCCCCAGAACTGCTTCTCCATCCTGCGGACCTCCGCAAGGTAGGCTTCCATGTGCTCATCCTTCGGCTCGTACACCTTGTTGGAGAAGTTGACAAGAAGCTGCGAATCGCCCTTGATGGTGAGGCGTTTCACCCCCAGGGCAGCCGCGGCCTTCAAGCCCGTTATTAGACCTTCATACTCCGCTATGTTGTTGGAGACCTTTTCACCTTGTTGGAAACAGAGCTGCACGGCGTAATAGAGCTTGTCCTGAGTGGGCGATATAAGCACCGCCCCAGCCCCAGTGCCGTGCCTGGAGAACGCCCCATCGAAGTACATGACCCAGGCTTCTGGCGCCTCACTTCCCGGGGACAGGGACCGATCCTCGTCGGCCTTGAGGCCTGGCGCCTCCGTCCATTCTGCCACAAAATCTGCCAACGCTGCTCCCTTGATGACTCTGGTTGTGCTGAATTCGAGCTGAAATGCTTGCAGCTCTATGTTCCACTCGGCGACCCTTCCAGCTGAATTGGGGCTCCTGAGCACTCTCTCCAGGGGGTATGACAAGACGACCTTGATAGGGTGACCCAGAAAATAGTGCCGCAGCTTGCGCGAGGCCACCAGCAGCGCGAGGAGGAGTTTTTGAGGCATGGGGTATCGTGCCCTTGCATCCCGCAACACCGTGCTGACGAAATACACTGGGTGCTCAACGAGGTGGAGTGCGTCAGTGCTGGTGGCTCCCTTCGGAGACCTTGGCGCCTCTTGAGGCAATGAGGACTCCTGAGACTGGCCATCTAGGAGTGGGGCCTCTTCTGCTTCCGGTGCGCCCCTCTGCGGCGGCTGATCCTCCTCAGCCGCTGTAGCGATTTCTGTGGGCCTTCCCCATTTCTGTTCCACCTCGTCCCGGGCCGCTGCTGCGGTTTTGATTCGACGCTCCTCTCTGACTGCCACCAAGGCTGCGCTGGCGGAGTAGGGAGTGGCGGCGAGGTAAAGCACCAGGGGCTCTTGAGGGCGCGGAGCCACCATGACCGGTGGACTGGTCAGGTATCTCTTGAGATCCTGGAACGCCTTGTCGGCCTCTTCAGTCCACTCGAAGGGCCCCTTTTTCTTCATTAGCTGGAAGAAAGGCAGCGCTCGCTCCCCCAACTTGGAGATGAAGCGCCCTAGCGCGGTCATGCGCCCCGTGAGCTTCTGCATTTCTCTGAGGGTCTTTGGCTGGCTCATGTCTTCCACTGCCTTGACCTTCTCCGGGTTAGCCTCGATGCCTCGGTGGGACACGAGGAAACCCAAAAGCTTGCCCGAGGGGACTCCGAACACACACTTCTCTGGGTTGAGCCGTAGGTTCACTGCGTTGAGGCTCGCAAAGGTTTCCTCCAGGTCTTGTATCAAGGTCCTGGCCTCCCGAGATTTTACCATGATGTCATCGACGTAAGCTTCGACATTCTTCCCGAGCTGCGGGCCCAGGGTGATGTGCATCAGCCGCTGAAAGGTCGCCCCTGCGTTACGCAGCCCGAATGGCATGCATGTGTAGCAGTACACCCCACACGGGGTTAGGAAGGCTGTCTTCTCGACGTCTTCTACCGCCATCTTGATCTGGTGATACCCAGAGAAGGCATCCAGGAAGCATAACAGGTCGCATTCCGCAGTGGAATCGACGATCTGGTCGATGCGAGGGAGCGGGAACGGATCTTGCGGGCACGCTTTGTTGAGGTTGGTGAAGTCGACACACATGCGCTCCTTCCCTCCCTTCTTTGGCACAACGGCAGGGTTGGCCAACCAATCTGGGTATTGGACCTCGCCAATGACCCCAGCGGCCTCTAATTTGCGGGTCTCTTGGACGATGAAGGCCTGCTTTTCTGTGGACTGCCACCTGGCCTTCTGCTTCACAGGGCGCACGTTGGGGCACACGTTGAGGTGATGCTCAATTACACTCCTGGGGATCCCTGCCAACTGGTCTGGCTCCCAAGCGAATACCTTCTTGTTTGCGCGCAGGAACCCGACCAGGGCCTCTTCCTGCTCGGGTTTGAGGTGGGCGCCTATGGTGAAAGTGGCGTTGGAGGACCCGTCCTCATCGACGGGTATCTGCTTGGTTTTTGCCTTGTCTTGGGTGAACAGCTGCTTCTTCTTGGCGGGCGCAGCTCCCTTGGGCTCGGGGGCCTCCAAGTCGGCGGGCTGTGCCGACGCCGCTATCTTGAAGACGAGCTTGAGCACCCGCAGAGCATCCCCGGTGTCCCCGTGCACGGTGAGGACACCGCTGCTCCCGGGCATCTTCATGAGGTTGTACGTCGGGTGCGTCGCTGCCATGAACTGGGCCAGCGCTGGGTAGCCGAGGATGGCGTTGTAGGGGAGGTCGATGGGGGCGATGTCGAAGTCGACCAGCTCCGTGCGGAAGTTGTCATAGGTGCCGAAGGTTACTGGGAGCCGGATCTGTCCCAAGGAGCTGGACGATCCGCCCCCAACGCCTGAGAAGGGCCGGCCGGGTCGCAGCCGTTCTTGGGGTATGCAGAGGAGATTGAAGGCCTCGACCGAGAGCATGCTGAGGCCCGCGCCGCCATCAATGAGGGTTCTGGTGACGGCCACCTGGTAGATGGTGGGGGTGCACAGCATGGGGAGCGCACCCGAGCAGGCCGAGTTGGAGGGGTGGTCCTCCGAGCTGAAGGTCAGGCCGGTCTCGGGCGCCGCCCGATCCAGGGGAGCCCCCTGCCGCGTGGAAGCGGCGCTGACCCGACGGATGAACGACTTGACGTGGTGACTTGTGGACGGCGCCTGCGAGCCGCCCAAGAGGACCGCGACGACCGGGGGTGTTGACGCAGCGCGATAGACGGGGGAGAGGTTGCGGGGCTCCATGGGCGCGCGGAGCGCGCGGGGCGAAGAACCAGCTGGGGTGAGCGTGGGAATTGCGGTGCGGCCGCCTTGCCGCACGGACAGATGCCGGGACGATGCTTGCTGCCCATCCCCCGCCGGGCCGGTGGCGGCGTTGACGGTAGGTGACGGGGAACGGCGTGGATGCCCGCCGACAGGGGCCGTCTGGGCGACGCGGGAAGCGAGTGCGGCCCGCCGCTCGGCGCGGGCCCGGCGAGCGTCAGACATGGGCGTGACGGTCGGAGGAGAACGGGGCGGTGGAAGACGAATTCTGGCGCACCCCCTACCTGGCGCGCCAAATGTCGGATTTCGGGTTCCGGCAGACCCTTGAGGTTCGAACACTGGGGTGCGCGCGGAGATTTCGCCTCCTCCTACCTGCACCCCTCCGCCATGCTAGGATCCAAACTAAGAAAAGAACAACACAAGAGACACAGGGTTTATACTGGTTCGGGCCACCGTTGTGGTGTAATACCCTACTCCAGTGTGTGGTGTGGTGGATTGCCTCTTAGGCTGATGATGATGAACCATACAAGGAAGAACAACCTCGCGAGGGTCTGTTCTTGGCTAGGGCGATGAACTGCTCGGAGGAGTTCAGTCACCTTTCTCTCTTTCTCTCTCTCTCTCTCTCTCTTTTCTTCTTTCAACCGACCGAACCCCCTTGCTATGTGGGTGGCTGGTCCTATTTATAGAGGCCCTGGTCCCCTCCCTAAATATTGAGCGGGAAGGGAGCCAACAATGGCAGGCTAATTTGAAGGGGGACAGCAAGTATCAGCTATCCTGACAAAAGTAGTCTTCGCCTGTGCAAAGCTCTGGTGATGACGCCGTCTTGGGCTCCACGATGACCTCCGTCTCGTAGTCCTCCTGGTCTTGGTCTCGTTGCACCGAAATGGCAACCTTTGCCTGATGCCTCGGTACTCCGCGGCTGCGCTTGCCCCCTTTGCACCAAAGAGGAAAGGAGGACGCTGCGCGGGCTGGCACCCGCCTGGCGCCCTGAGTCGTCATGGCTTGCGCCATGGGCACCTCGTGAGGTACCCCTCCTTGATCTCTCCGCCCCCTCGTGAGCCAGCCTGATGAGGCCGTGCCTGAGGAAGCTCCGCGTCGTCCGCCCCACGAGGCTTGGCCCCTCGCGAGGGTATTGGGTTTGTGTTGGTGAAGATGGGCCGTGCTGGGCCCCCTTTGAGCCACGCCGTAGGCCGCAGGCAGGCAAGTCTGGGGACCCCCTTTCCCAGAACGCCGATAATCCTCGATCTATTTCATGCTAGAAAGGTAACAAGCACTTGCTGTACATGATAGATGACTTTAGTAATCTAAGGTGACTGGACTAGTGGTAATTGTACTGGATGCCAAGCAGATACATTAGACATTGATAAAAGAAGCGGTTCCTTTTGTAGAGTGTAGGTTTCTTTCCCAACCGGAACATTTACATTTAACAGAAATACCATGAGCGGTAGCTTGCTTATTCTTCTTGGAGATGTGCTGTAGATGAGTTACCTGTAGTTCAAAATTTTCAAACTTTACACATGACTGAGAAAATGCTCATATGGCACTACCACATGTATCACCAAAATGATTTTGCTTCACTCAAGTCGTGTAGTATTCTTTCTCTGAGCATTTGATTGATCTATAGGAAATATGCATATGTGGCAACAACGTTTAGGAATTCCATAAAAACGTCCATCATGTTTGGCACATCAAACTCACATTATTACAAGGATGAATACTTAAGTGGTCCACTCAGCTAGTTTTATTCTTAGGTTAAGAATAGTGATTTCACATGTTGTAGTTTGTCCACGTTGTGGGTGAAAGCTTTGCTAAGCTGAACCACCTTCTTTGGAGACATCCACTGGGTAACGATGGATGCAGCTAGCCCATGATCCATTGGCATTGGGGGATGGTTGGATGCACACCCACACGGCGGTGTTGCACTTGTACCCGGCTCCGAACCCGATCATCCACACCCTATCACCCTTCCGCATTCGGCCCTTATCTTCGATGTAGGCCAACTGGTACCACACGGATGCACTTGATTGGTTCCCAAACCGATGCAGCGTCATACGCGATGGTTCAACATGCTCGTCTGATAGACTGAGGCCAAGCTGTACGGAGTCGATCACCGCTGGTCCACCAACATGGATGCAGAAGTGCTCAAACGCCATTCGGAAGTCAGGGATGTATGGCCTGATCTTCCTCCGGTGGAGCACCTTTCTTGCCATGGAAAATAGATATTTGATCAACTCTGAGGTTGGTAGGACGAGCGGTCCGATTGCGGTCATGTTGGCCTTGAGCGTTTCTCCGGCGATGGCCATGAGGTCTTTTGATAGAGTGAGCCCTATGTTTCCCTCAGGATCATCCTCTTGGTAAACGCACCGGTAAGCAGCGTCATCTGCACCGACGAGCGTCCGCTCGACGTGTGCAAGCTTGAACCGGGCCTTGTGCTTACAAGTCGATAACAGCATGGCGCTGCCACCCACACGGAACAAAATGTTTCCCAAGTGCATGGAACGCACATTCCCCTTGTAGTATTGCGGACCAAGGGTCTCCGTGGACACCACCAACACATGTGATCCCGAAGGAATGATCTGCAGCATGTTCTTTGCGAGCCCCACCGCGGTCACCCCTGCACTGCACCCCATTCCGGAGAGGTTGATCACGCGGATGTCGTCTCGCAGCGCATACCCGTTGACGATCCGGTCGGCGATGGATGGCACTGGGCAAAACAGGCTGCAGTTGGTGATTAGGACGTGGATCACATCAAGGGCGATGCACGTCTTGGCCAATAGGTCATCGATCGTCGAGAAGATGACCATCTCCGCCTCACTGCGACCTTCATCTAGAGAACAGTCTGGCTCGACATAGTAAAGTGCAGGTGGCACCAATGTGTCTTCACCCATGCCAGAGCGCTCAATCACACGTTCTATGAATTTAGTGGTAGATTCGCCAAAGAATGGTGAGATGTGTGCATGCTCGAGGAAGGTGGCCTTTGGGGCTCGATACTTGTAGCTTGTTCTGAAGCAAGCGTAATCGACAAGGTACACATTTCTAGGATGACGTATGAGGTAGGAGTAGATTCTAAGCATGGCGGTCGGAAGAATGGCAGCCAAGAGTAGGTTGATGGGTTGGAGATCACGCAGTTGGGAAAGAAGCTCGTCTATAGGGGCAATCCGTTGTGCGGCTTGTAGGAGGACGGCGGCTGCTAGTGTTATGGTGGTGGCCATGAGCAGGAACTTGTTGGTAGCCAGATAGTATAGCCGTTTGAGGTGCTTGAGATCGGACAATGAGGTCATAATGTTGGATTATGCAGATGCGAGCGATGAGGATAGAATAATGGGAGTAGTGAGGGCCGGGAAGGGGGTTTTATACAAAACACCGAGCCGGGACAGTTTCATTGGGAACTTAATTTTTCAGCGCTTCCTTGCATTCAGAAGCTTATATTGCAACGTCATGGAAGAAATACGTCGTTATAGCATATTTAGATCAAACATGCTTTCCAATAGTAGAGGGGACCATGGATGCCCACTTCTGAACTAGTATTTCATACAATGTTTTTCATGCAGCACAAGAGTGAAGTTAGCCATGTTTTTCACATGACACAGCAACACTTTATTCAGATAGTTAAGAAGACGTCTAGCAAAAAATATTGAAGAGATATTTTGCTGTTACCCTACGAAATACTGTGGACCATCTGTTTTTTTAGGACTCTGTCGAGCGGGTCCCAAATTTCAGTTTGGGCATAACATGCTAAGCGCATCTCTAATGTTATTTGTTTAATGATACGTGTGGGCTGATGGGTTTTTTCTAAAAGGGAAAACCGATGGTTTTCAGCAATTTCGACCGCGATTGTGATGGTTTTATGCTAATTTCTCCCTTTTGCTTTTTTTGGAATCGTTCTGCCTTTCACTTGAGTAATCTTTTGGTTGGTTTCATACATTGATATTAGTTACTGCAAGGATCTCAGCTTGTGCTTGTTTAGCCTGTTTTGAATTGTACAACTACGAACGTAAGTGCATGTCTCATGTCCGTTCTATTACCAAAGGCAAAGTATTTTCAAGCTTTTTTTAGCAACATATGATAATTATTGTTGCTGGTAAAGCTACAGTTAAAATTACATATTTAAATTTTAGCACGTTAAATATTCAAGAGTAAATAACATAAAACCACATGGATTAGGGCAAACGTAACTATGGATGACAGCACGGCGGGTTTGAGCAGGCAGGGCTCTACTGAACCCGTGCCTAAGACGGCGGTGGCCACCCACCCGCCATCTCAAATAAGGTGACATCTGCAAATCCAAAGGCATCTGCCCACCAACATTTGACGCAAGGTAACTAGGTAAGTATTTGAATTAAGCGCTTGCCTATAAATCCGCCACTGAGATGACCATCCTAAATTTTGTGTTGTATTTTGGACAGGAATCTGCGTTTGTCTTATTCATATCAATCCAATATTGAAGCTCGAAAGGTAACATGCACTAGCTATACAAGATACTTTCCCAACTGGATCATTAACATTCAACAGAAATAGCATAAGAGACAGTACGTCACAACATGCTTATTCTTCATAGGCTGCGCTTGGAACGTCATTTTTAAGCGATCTACACCAGTAAAACACACCCCCGCCACTTACAACATTGAGATAGGTGAGAATATGCTCATAGTGTTGTATCACATGCATCAGCAAAATAACTTTTCTTCACTTAAGTGCAGTAACTCTTTCTCTGAATAATTGATATGAAACTTATTAAAACCATCTAGATGTCACCTAAGACCGCGCATGTGCATTTCTGGCGCCTATGTTTCGCGATTCCATGAAAAAAAATATGTACATTTCCTATGCTTAGAGCACATCTAGATCAAACAAGATTTCCAATGGTAGATGGAACCATGCGCGGTTGACTTCTGGCTAATTTTTTTAAATAATACATTTTTTATTAATTTTCATAAATATTACGCTGGGTAATTTTTTTCAAAAATAATACACCGTCGGCCCACAGCAGGCCGATTGGATTCTAGTCGGCCTACAGCTGGCCGACTGGCCCCTGTCGGCCCATTATGGGCTGATTGGGTCCTGTCGGCCCACTGTGGGCTGATTGGGTCCTGTCGGCCCACTGTCGGCCGACTGGAGCTAATTGGCTCGCGGTGGGCTAATTGTTTTTGCAAAAAAAGTAGGCATAAAAAATATATGTTTAAAAAATGTTAATCATGTAATTAAAAACTGTTAAACGTGTATAAAAAAATATGTTCCTGATGTATACAAAAAATGTATAATATATATGCAAAAAAGTTGACTAAAAATATGTTTTAAAAAGGATTAATCATGTTTTTAAAAATTGTTAAATGTGTGTATGAAAAATGTTCCTTATCTATACAAAAAATATAGAATGTGTATGAAAAAAAGTTGACACCAAAAAAATATGTTTGAAAAAAATGTTAATCATGTATTTGAAAAAATGTTCAACGAGTACACAAAAATGTTTCATGTATTGGAATGAAAGGTTAAACGTGTATAAAAAAATGTTCCAGCTCCGGATCCGGTATGGGAGCATCACGGACCTAAGTATGATTGGTTGCTCTTTTTGTATGGAACTGGAACATTTTTTTCAAACATATGTTTTTGGTGTCAACTTTTTTCATACACATTCTATATTTTTTGTATAGATAAGGAACATTTTATACACACATTTAACAATTTTTAATCATGTATTTGAAAAAAATGTCAACTTTTCAAACATATTTTTTTGGTGTCAACTTTTTTTCATACACTCTATATTTTTTGTATAAATAAGGAAAAAAATTATACACACATTTAACAATTTTTAAATACATGCTTAACACTTTCTAAAACATATTTTTATGTCAACTTTTTTGCATATATATTGTACATTTTTTGTATACATCAGGAACATTTTTTATACACGTTTAACATTTTTTAATTACATGATTAACATTTTTTAAAACATATATTTTTTATGCCTACTTTTTTTGTAAAAACAATTAGTCCACAGCGAGCCAATTAGCTCCAGTCGGCTCACAGTGGGCCGACTGGACGCAATCAGCCCACGGTGGGCCGACAGGGGCCAGTCGGCCAGCTGTAGGCCGACTGGAGTCCAATCGGCCTGCTGTGGGCCGACGGTGTATTATTTTTGAATTTTTTTATCCAGCGTAATATTTATGAAAATTAATTAAAAAATGTATTATTTTTTTAAAAATAGCCCTTCTGAACAAATATCTTGACACTTGTTTTTTCTTGTAGCACTAGTGTGTGTATTATAAGCCATGGAGGTTGATTGACTTTGGTTAATTTAGCTTGACCTTGATGATTTCCCAAGTATGCATTCGCCGGGTTAAGTAGATTATCAATTAGGATTAATTATTCTGATAACAAAATGAATTAGCTCCTGCAACGTCCTCAACTTTTTGAATACTTGTCTAAAAAAAGCTTTTTGAATACCTTTCCAGGACAACAGATATGCACAAGCAGCCACTTTGCAAGGCAATTTTGGTACTCTTTGCAAGGCAAATTTGGTACTCTATCCTTTGTCAAGGTGGGTTACAGCACCTTGCCCCCCAACCAGCTGAAACGTCGTTTGATGATTGGTGGGACAAAGCATGGCAAACAACTCTGATCACCTAAAGAAGGGATTCAATACCCTGGTGGCGTTAGGTGCTTGGATTCTTTGGACTCACCGCAATGCATGTGTGTTTGACGGAGCAGCTCCAAGCATGGCAAGAGCGCTGGACACTGCCGGTGATGAGCGGCGTCTTTGGGAGATTGCAGGTGCACGGGGCCTCATTTTCCCCTTTGATTTTCAGGCGAGAATGTAAACTAAGAACTTTGGTGAGGCGTGCGCAGCGTGTTTCAGTGGGCATTGTATGGGTTCTTTGTCCCATTTCTTCCTCATATAATGATACACAGATCTCCTGCGTGTTCAAGAAAAACAAGCAGCCAATTTGACATCAGAAAGAGCTTTTACCAGCAACTTTCTCAAAGGTGGCTTTGTTGGGGCACATTCCAGGCCGCCCAGCACACAGGCCACAGGACATACAAGAAAATATCAAGTGGAATTTTAGCTTTCCACACCCACTTGTAGTGAGATCCAGGCCATCACATTCAAGCCACTGATACATAGATTTAGATTGAAACTTTCTTTTACCAAATACTCCTCTTGGGGGCTTTGCCTGTACGTATAAAGCCTCCGCACCTCATCAGGCTCGGGACAAAGATGAACTCCTCTTGGGGGCTTTGCCTGTACGTCTGAACTCAGAACTTCTTTCCTTCTGTTTATATATTGCACTCCTATTGCTATTGCAAGTCAGAACTCCTGCCCAGAAAATCATCCTACCAATCTTGGAGGAGGTTTCTCACTGACATAAATCATCACTAACGAACTGATCACCGATACATGAACCAATGGAGTATGTACACCAAATACTGCAGTAGTCGACACAAAAGAAACGAAAAAAAGGGAGAAAAAAAAACTGCGACGAACAAACGACGGATGCCCTACAAAATTGCTGGCTGCGCAAGCGCAGCCGTACGAGGCATCTAACACCCGTCGGCAATAACTCAATAAGCCCTACAGCAATCATCTACTGATCAGACTCCAGCAATCTCCTCAGGTTGCAAAGGGCCTCAGCAGACAGGCTCTTGCAAGATCTTATCCTCCTCGATGACGCCTCCTCCGAAGTCCGCAGGCACCCGCCGAGCTCGGAGGCAAAGCAAATGACAATCACCGTCAGGTTGTCGAAGGTCTGGAGCCTCTTCGCCTCCATGGCGAGCTCCCTCGCGCACCTCTCGGGGTCATCGTGCCGTCGGAGCCCCTTCCGGACCAGGGTCACCGCCTGCTGGCTGGTCATGACGTCCCATATCCCGTCGCAGCCTATGATGAGGAACTCGTCGTCCTCTGTGAGGATGGTCTGCTGGAACTCTGGCTCAGCAATCAGAGGTGACTGCGAGCCTTGAGGCATTTTCATGTCCCAATCCCCTAGAGCACGAGTCACCGACAATACTCCGTTGAGGTAGCCGTCTTCGATGTATCCCCCACACTCAGTGACCCTTTGACGCTCTGCTTCATATGTTGGCCTGTGATCACGGGACATCTCCATAGCCATGCCTTTCCTGCATAGAACTGCTCGGCAATCCCCAGCATTTGCAACCAACAACTGCCTGCAAGATAGGAAGAAGAGCAAAAGTTAGCATGCATATGCCAATACAATCATGTCTATCATATCACAGAGTGCATCTGCAGAGGCTTTGACTGCATGCTCATCTTACCTTCCAAAGATCAAAGCTGTAAGAGCTGTGGTTCCCGACGATCGGCTGATGACTGAATCGTCTGCAAGAGCAAGGTCTGCACTCAAGAACGCTTTGCGGATTGAGTTCGCAACAGATTCAGAAAAGAATTCATCTTCTTGCAATCCTTCTGGGAACTCTGAATCCTCAAAGAACAACCTCATGGCATGCCTTTTCATGTAGGCTGCTGCATCTGAACCTCCATGGCCATCAAAAACCTACTGACAAATAACACAATTAGTTCAGATGGTGCAGGAGAATCATAGTAGGATAAAAAATATGACAGAAGGCCATGCATACCCCATAGAAGGCATTAGGGGACGGGCACAGCAATAGTGAGCCAAGATGACCAGAAAGATTATCAATTCTGATATGCTCATCTTCCATGTACCGCCTAGGTCCAATATCAGCGAAGCTCCCAGATCTAATCTTGGGGACAAACTGTAGCGTCTCCAAAGGCGTCTTGACCTGCATTGAGCAGAGACCAATTAATATGCTGTCATGAACAGACATCCTCCGCTAAAACTATATGTGGGGAGAGGGTCACTTATACTGTTTGATCAAGACAAATTGGGTTGCTAACCATCGCATGGCAAATCATTCAAAGTGTTCAGCGTCTAAATCAACCCTATTATACGGTTATGGAGATAACAAAACAAACGTTTCAATGCTTAATTAATGAAAACAACTACTTATGCGTGTGTTATGGAGATAACTAAACAAACATTTCAATGTTGACTTGATAAAAACAACTACTTATGCGTGCGCTATGGAGATAACTAAACAAACATTTCAATGCTGGATTGATAAAACAACTACTTAGGCCGCGTACAACCTTGTACTTCCAAGTAAAAGCCGTAGCAAATCCCCAAAGCAGACAATTCAATGTACTCACAATAAGTTACTAGCATAATTCTAATATGCCCAGCAGAGAAACAAAACACAGAGAATCATACTATCTTGCATAGGCAAACAATCAATATGCACTGCCAAACCATACTAGAACATAATTTGCATAAAATTACCACGCGCTAAACAGATCAACCCAATAATGATTCCAACATCCATTTATACCCCCAATTTCCAAACTACCATCAACAGTTGATACATCGATATTACAAAACAGCAACAAGAAAGGCTTAACCTTTAAATTCTTATTACAAGTACTCTAGACTAGAACCAATTCTAGGGAAGGTCATTTAAACACCTGTCGGCATCGTAATTTCGCTACGCAAGAAGATAAGAGAGGCGCTTCTGATTGATATATAACCTATAAAAGAAACCTATAACGCCAGGAAGAACAGACTAGCGATCCCTACCGATAAGCATCAGATTTACCATACCCGTCTCGCCGGGTGACAAGAAATCCTACGGCCTACCTAAAGATGAAAACGAACGGGGGAGGGGGAGGGGGGAGCCGGCCGGGACCATCGCCAGGCAGGGTCAAGAACTCACCAGATCGGGCACCTCGAGGTCGACCTGCGCTTGCGAATCGACCGGCGGCGGCGGCGACGACACCCCGACCCCGACCCCGACGACGACCTCCTCGGCCCCTCTGACGGGGCACCGGCGGAACTGCGCCTCCAGCATCGGAACGACCTGATGCATGACCTCCGGCCCGGCAACCATATCTCCGCCTCACTGGTCAGATCAGATCCCTCTCCTCCGCAAACAACCTCCCGGATCCCTCGCTCGCCCTTCACTCGCCAGAGAACTCCCCCGATCCGCACTCGCGCCACAGAACAAGAATCCAACGACGATCGCCCGATTTTTCCTCGTGGGGTCTCACGATCCGAGAGACGCGATCTTGAACCTTTCCTGGACACACACGCTCGCTCGGTGGCTGGCTGGCTCACGCGCAGACTTTCCTGATCCGAAACGAGGGAGAGGGGGAGAAGAGAAGAGACGAAACGGCGCAAATTAGGCGGACACGTTGCTATTTACGCGCGCGTGGTGGGATTGGAAGAGAATAAATCAACGGACGGCGGCGGCGGCAGCTGGTGCGTGGGCGTGGGGGACGTACGGGCGCGTGGCCGCTGCGAGCCGGTAACCTAGGCTCGGTGCGATGGTGGGTGCACCCGCACCAGGCCGGCCTCGTTCTCGTCTCGGTTCACACTTTCGCCCGTCAACGAAACAATGATGCGCTGCAATGAAAATCAGTTGATGGAATTTTTTTGAGAAGTCTAGTATATTCTCCTGTCCCAATACCAAGGTAGAAGACAAGGCGTAAATCTGTACAATTTTGAATATTATGACTGAAGCACTTAACGATAAGTATTTGAGTTTGCCTGCAAATATGGGTATGGACAAAAATGATTGTTTTCAATTCCTTTTTGATAGAAATTGTAATGAAAATCAGTGGATGGAAAGAAAAATTGCTATCCGCGGGTGGGAAGAAAATTTTGCTCAAATCTGTTGTACAAGCTATCCCAGCTTATGCCATGTCCGTCTTTAAAATTCTTAAAAAAACTTGTAAGGGAATTATCGACGCGATGTCGCAATTTTGATGGGGTGACGAGGACAACCAGAAGAGAATGCATTGGATGGCGTGATGAAAGATGTGCGTCCCAAAAGACCAAGGAGGTATGGGGTTCCGAGATATCCAATGTTTTAATCTGGCATTGTTAGCCAAACAAGCATGACGTCTACTTGATAATCACGAGTCTTTATGTGCTACGATCTACGAGATATCCACAGGAGACATAGTCTAGTATGTACTTCAAATATTATACACAGACTTCAATAACGCAGCCGAATACGAGGCTTTATTGCACGGACTTCGAATGGCTGTCTCTATGGGCATACAACGCCTGGAGGTGTGTGGGGATTCAAACCTCGCAACATCTCAAATAAACGGAGACTTCGACGCTAAAGATCCGAAGATGGCGGCCTATCGTAACGCCATACTCAAAATATCAGCTCGGTTCGAGGGACTTGAGTTTCATCATGTGGCTCGAGAAAGTAATCAAGCGGCGGATGTCCTTACTCGCATAGGCGCCAAGCGTGACCCCGTCCCACCTAACATCTTTTTGAAAAGGTTCTTCAAGCCATCTGTGGTATGGCAGGACGAGAGCGGCAACTCTAGTTCAGATCCGGTTATACGCCAAGATCCCAAACACAATATCGATATCATCGGGGACTCAACCACCGAAACAACACAAATCGGCCCATCTAATAATGGCAGTAATTGCCCCATGGACCAAACCCTTCTTGGCCTACCATAATAGGCGAGAGCTCCCTGAGGACCAGAATGAGGCTCGATGTATCGTTCGTCGCTTGAAAGCCTACAAGGTTCATGAAGGAGAGCTCTACAAGAAGAATGCTACCGGAGTACTTCAAAGATGTATCTCCGAAGAAGAAGGACGACATCTCCTGGCTGAAATCCATGCTGGTCTTGGCAGTCACCACGCTGCAGCCCGGGCTCTTGTAAGTAAGGCCTTCCGTACCGGTTTCTTCTGGCCAACGGCCCGAGCAGATGCACATGACCTTGTCCAATGTTGTGTGGGATGCCAATTTTTCGCCAATCAAAGCCATATGCCGCCTACCGCCTTACAAACAATTCCCATTACTTGGTCTTTCGCGGTCTGGGGGCTTAATATGGTCGGACCCCTTAAAGGGGGGAGCCATAAGAAAAAAAATATCTGTTGGTCATGGTAGATAAATTCACTAAGTGGATAGAGGGCAAGCCAGTTAAAACAGCTGAAGCCGGACCAGTCATGGACTTTATATCCGGTGTCGTACACCATTATGGTGTCCCACACAACATCATCACCGATAACGGCTCCAATTTTACAGCCGACGAAGTAAAAACATGGTGTGCTAACCTGGACATTAAGCTCAATTATGCCTCCGTCTATTACCCCCAAACAAATGGTCAAGTCGAACAAGCCAATGGTCTTATCCTGAGCAGCATTAAGTCTAGACTAGTACGATCTTTAAAAGAGTCAGACAAACACTGGGTTGAGGAGTTCGCTCCGTACTCTGGGGGCTGCGGACCACGCCCAATCGCACTACCGGTTACACATCATTTTTCATGATGTACGACGCAGAGATCGTCTTGCCCTGCGACATTATTCATGACTCACCTCGAGTGCGCATGTACAAAGAGAGAGAAACCGGGCTAGATCGGCAGGACAGTCTAGATGCCCTGGAGGAGGAGCGCGATGTTGCAAAAGCACGTTCCGCATTTTATCAACAACAAGTTCGCAGATATCAAAGAAGAGAGGTGTGGGCCAAGACTTACAATGTTGGTGAACTCGTTCTATGCTTTCCAGAAAAGAAAAAAGACAAACTCAAACCTAAGTGGGAAGGTCCCTTCATCATAGATGAAGTTCTCACTGGAGGTGTGTACCGTCTGCATGACACATTGGATAATCGCGAGCCGAACCCGTGGAATGCTGCCAGACTCCGAAGATTCTATGCCTAGAGCCGGACTCATTGTTCGTTTTCCTTTTTCTCCTCTTTTCATTTTCTCTCTTTAATTTTTTTGAGAAGTCTAGTATATTCTTCAGTACCAATACCAAGATAGAAGACAAGGCGCAAATCTGTACAATTTTGAATATTATGACTGAAGCACTTAACAATAAGTATTTGAGTTTGCCTGCAAATGTGGGTATGGACAAAAGTAATTGTTTCCAATTCCTTTTTGATAGAATTGTTATGAAAATTAGTGGATGGAAAGAAAAATTGTTATCCGCAGGTGGGAAGGAAATTTTGCTCAAATCTGGTGTACAAGCTATCCCAGCTTATGCCATGTTCGTCTTTAAAATTCCTAAAAAATCTTGTAAGGGAATCATTGACGTGATGTCGCAATTTTGGTGGGGTGACGAGGACAACCCGAAGAAAATGCATTGGATGGTGTGGTGGAAGATCTGCGTCCCAAAAGACCAAGGAGGTATGGGGTTCCGAGATATCCACTGTTATAATCTGGCATTGTTAGCCAAACAAGCACAACGTCTACTTGATAATCCCGAGTCTTTATGTGCTACGATCTTGAGAGCTAAATATTTTTCGGATGGCGATTTAATGAATGCAAATCTAAAAAAGGGCTCCTCTTTTACTTAGCAAAGTATCATGACTGGAGTGAATTGTCTGAAAAGTGGTTATATCTGGTGAGTTGGAAATGGACATAATATTGATATATGGAGAGATGCATGGATTCCTAACTGTGCGAATAGGAAAATTGTTACTCATAGAAGGGGACAAATACTATCAAAAGTCTGTGATCTTATTGACCCGGTCACGAATTCTTGGGATAAAAATTTGGTGACACAAACGTTATGGCCAATTGATGCTCAAAGGGTATTAGCAATTCCACTTTTCATGCGTAATATGCCTGACTTTATTGGTTGAAGCCATACAAAAAAGGTAAGTTCACTGTTCGATCAACTTATTTGAAAGAACGAAACCAACAACATGGGAAAAAATTAGAACACGCAAACGGAATGGGTAGAACCAATGTCAACCCTATATGGGGTAATATTTGGAGACTATCCTGCCCAGCAAAAATTAAAATTTTCATATGGCGTATACTGCATGGTACCTTCCCATGCCGAGTTACACTTGCTAACAGACATATAAAAGTTTCACCCATTTGTCCTTCTTGCTCAAATGGACCGGAGGATACAAAACACGTCTTGTTTCAGTGTCAGAAGGCAAAAGAAGTTTGGGGAAAATTAGGTCTACAAGAGGTGATCCATAAAGCCTGTATTGTTGACCACGCGGGAGAGGCGGTGCTATAATTCTTACTCCTTATGAAAGATCAAGAATTAAACATTAAGGGCATCCAGAATGCACATGAGTTAATAGCTATTACAGCTTGGTATCTATGGTGGGATAGACGTCAACTGGTCCATGAAGGAAAGTTACAGGATGCAAATCAAACTTCAATGGGGGCTCGTGCTATAACGGCAAACTATGTCAATGCATACTCCCCTAAGGCAACTCATAAAATAGGGGGATGGAGTATCCCTCCTAGAGGATTTGTCAAGCTGAATTTTGATGTCGTTTTCGATCATGATCTCCTTTGAGGTACAGTGCTGCGGTCCTGAGAGATGATAAGGGAAGGTTCATCATTGGAGGAAACTGGAGGATTGACTGGCGTGATAATGTATTAACAACTGAAGTTCTGGCTCTTAAATTTGGTTTATTCCTAGCACAGAAGATGGGTTGTAATCGCCTTGTTGTAAACTCAGATAACATGGAAGTGATCAACATAATGAAAAATGGAGGACACTCGACGGGAGCGGCAGCTGCAGTTTTTGATGATTGTTACTTTTTGGCTTGTGATTTTTCTAGAGTTAAATTTGAACACTGTAATAGGGAAGCAAATAGAATGGCCCATGAAATAGCTAGGTTAGCAAAACTTTCTGCCACTAGGGATTGGTTTGAGGAGCCGATGAAGGATATTGTACCTCTTCTTATGGACGATGTAACAATTATTTATAATTAATAAAGTTCAAGTTTTATTTAAAAAATGATGCGATGCAATGATCTCACACGGTCACACCCTTGACAAATTTTTTTGTTGACAAAACACACCTTGCCAACTTGTGAGGTTGGGAAATCTAACTCGCCATTTTTTTCCTTTGCCAACTTGTCAATGGGCATTTATATTTTTTTGCGAGGGA